GCTCAATCCAGGTAAGGAAACCAGTGGGAGTCAAAAGGGGAATGTCCTCTACCCTTTACTCTAGGATAGTGGTGCCCAGCCTTGGGTCCCCTAGATATTCTTGGACAACAACTAGCAGAAATACTGACCAGCATAACTAGTCATGAAGGCTTATGGGAGTTTTAGTCCAAGAACACCTGGGGATCCCGGGTTGGAAACAACTTATTCCAGGGTTTTGATTTGGGTCAGTGCAAACTTCTGCAAGCTCAGACTTCTGGAAGTTTGTGGAAAAGCTAACCAACCTCTACTCAAGGGTAGAATGACACAATTGCTGGACACGCTTCGCGCTGACCAAGCCCCAGTGAACCAAAGTCTCGAGACAAATGGAAAGAGAGGAGCCCCCATACTGCCCAAGCTTCAAACCCTCTCTTCAGTGGGTGAGGTGATGCGCTCTTCCTGAGCTTGGAATGTCTCTTTTCGGACTACAATGCACCAAATCCCCCAGCCAGAGGTCTGGGCAATGTCTCCAAGATCTGACTCCCTCTTTTGGCCAGGTGGGGACTGCATGTCCCTTGATAATTTCCAGAAAGTGTGGATGGAAAAATAGTAATTTGTCCAAGTTCTGCCTTCCTGTTTTGGCAATCGGGGCAGGCTTAATTCTAAGAGTGAACTTTCCATTCTTTCAAGGAGAATGAGCCACATCACGGCACGATTATTCCTTCTATGTCTTTCTTCCCTATCGGTTTATCAGAAATAAGATTAGCAGTTCCATTTTCCACCCTGGCAGTCTAGCATTCCATTCCATTCCATGACAGAGAGCATCTCCATATATATGTAGCTATTTATATAGGCAAATCTGTCCTGTATTCCCCAGGGCCTTTATTTTATCTTAATTTTGTTCCGTGTTACCTTGGCAAGGGGCCCATTAGCCATGATTTCTTTCAGACAAGCGGGCCATAAAACTACATTGGAGAAAGTTGGGGGAAATCTATTGCGTGCAATTTCATCATCCCACCGGCAGCCCCCTAATGGCTGCTTTCCTCTTAAATATGTCTTACTTTACACACTAGCTCAAAAGGCTATCGAGGCAGAATGGAGCCCTGCGACAGTCAGTGGGAGGCCACCCCAGAGGAGGCTTCTGGAAAGAGGCTGGGAGACCTCTCTGCATTTTGAGGGTCATACTAGACCCAGAAAGCAGGTGGGGGGCAGGTGGGGCACATTGACTTCTGGGATCAATGTTCCCCTTTGCTGAGAAATACCAAGCTGATGGCAAGCGCACTGACTACCTCTTTTGGTCCTATTGAACCCCATGCACAGCTCCCCTCCTCCCCATCTCCTTCTCACAATAACCCCAAAGAGTAGACCAGGCTGGGAAAATGGCAGGCCCAAAGTCTCCCAGTGAGTTTCATAGCTTGATGGAAGACTAAGACTTGGATCCAATCTAAGACTTTAAAACCCAATTAAAAACATGGCTGTATATTCAGGCCTTCCCTCCAGTCAATACTCGATTTTTCTTTGTATTCTTCCTTTATTTCTTACTCTATATTTGTATTGTACTTGTTACTGGATGATTTATGTAAAATTCCTGTGTTATCTTATTGTCTTATATTGGAAGCCGCCTAGTAGAGTGGTCGTATGGACCGGATGGGCGGGATATGAATCAAATAAATAAATAAAGTGCCACTCTTGGATTCTACCCACGGGCAGCTCATGCACCGATGGGGAAGGGAAAGACCTCACCCCAAGATTTGAGAGAGGGCACCCCTTGCTTAGGTCACCTAGGACTCTAACTACTATACCACACTGCCTCTTAAAGTATAAAGATACAAAGCACAAGGAGAATTGGCTAGGCAACTCCTTTGACATACCTTCACACACCCCTCTGTTTCCACTCCGTGTATGCCTCTGGGCATCATCCCGATGGATGTCTGACTGGACCTCCTAAACTATCTGTTCCTAGACATCCAAGAACAAAAAATGGATCAGGACGAAAGCTTCACAGAAACACTGCTCAGCAAAGCAGGGGAGGAAAGGCCCTGCCTCTTGGGAGACACTACATTCTACCCGTTCTTCCTACAGACTGCAGAGTGAGGGCATCGGGGAGGCTTGGTTTGCCCCTAATTACCCTTCAACTTCGGGTGATGCTCATGATGCCATCTGCAGTTAAACAAATCTAGCAACAGGGTGAAGAAATAGCCCTTTCTGAAGGAGATTTCTGGCTGCTGTTTCCAATCAGAGGGCATGGTATGGGGCCAAGCAAATGAATTGTATTTCAGACAGGTCTTACAGGGAAGTAGCAGAGCATACATCTTGTGTGTACAGTAGGAAACCCCCCCCCCAATTATCTGCGGTATCAGTATCTGCATTTTCACTCATCCACTGCCTGAAAATATTAAATAAAAACCTGTAGAAATATGTATTTATTTGGGAATATGGAAATATCATTGAAATACATATTTATACATATTTCCATGGTGTGTTTACCAGAACTGGCCACTAGAGGGAGCCAGAGACTATAGGATGTATTGTTGTTGTTTAGTCGTTAAGTCGTGTCCGACTCTTCGTGACCCCACGGACCAGAGCACGCCAGGCCCTCCTGTCTTCCACTGCCTCCCGGAGTTGGGTCAAATTCATATGATGTACAGTATAGTGTTTGTTATTTCCGAAATTTTTGGCATCCACAGTGAGTGGAGTGATTCCCTGCAGAATTGTGGCTTCTTCCAAATTACAGAAACCACTGTCTGGAGAGATACTCCAAAAATATTTGAAATAACAAGCAAATAATATTAAGAGCTGGTATTCAGCTTATCGAAACCTTAGGTTGCTTTTACTGGGTAGTGTATAATAGACGGGAAGGTCAGTAGTAGGACCATGGCTGAGGAATTCAAGGGTTTTTTTTTATGTGTGTGTATGGTTAAATTTGTTTTCATTTTGTTTTATGATGTGTGAAAGCCTCCTTGAGCCTAAACTGTAGTGGAAAAGTGAGGTAGGAATGTAATTAGTAAATAAATCAATGGATGGATGGAACAGAAGCATATGTTTTAAATTATAACCCTGTGAAGAACACCTCCCAAGAAATGTTGCTTTCAACAGCAAGAGAGAAATCCAGACAATTTCTGTCTCAAATGGTTAATTGCTCCACTTTAGTTTTCTTTTGTCTTGCCTGCTTTCTCATTGTGTAAGGAACACATTTGCATAATCTATGAGAAAGACACCATTCTTTTTCTTTCTTTCTTTCTTTCTTTCTTTCTTTTTACATTATAGCCATTTAACAGGCACGCATCACCCTGCGGGTGCTATCCTTGGACTCACAGCATACACTGATATGCACCCATGTTCTTACACCTAAACTAGTGATTTTCAGGGGCTCTTTGTCACAGAAAAGACCACCAATCAGAAATATTACTTTTAAGACTATTTCTGCATGACATGTTAGAAAAAGAACCTGGCTCACTGCTATTGATCTACCCCTGCAATGATGGGGAATGTTAACTTATTCACCTTTATACTCTGTTGTTCTCTGTTTCCCATTGCATTGTACAGTGTTGGTGCATGCTGGACCCAACCTTCTGCTTGCCCTCCTTTTCAGAAATGATCCTTAATGAAGGTAAGTGTAGGCCCTATTTAGGATTTTTTTTTTGTTTCACTCGTCCCTTCTGGCTCATATGGAGAGGCTAGATGGTTACAACAGCCTCTCCATGTTCAGGGAGTTACGTTTCCGTGATTAAAGAGATGACAGAGGGGTTGGTGGGGCTAGCGTGCTTACCGCAGTGCATGCGTGATCCACAAGCTTGCTGGACAGGGTTTTAGAGCCAATTGACACTGCCCACCCACAATACACGATTTAGGGTTTCAGGAACAGACATTTGGGGAAATGCTCAGGACTAAGTCTTCTAAGACTTCTAAGATTGGCCAGTTTGAATTTCCCTGGGACCTGGTATCCACTCAGCTCTCAGAGGTATAGTTCTTGTTATGGAAGAGGTGTTCACTGTATAGCAAGAAGGTATGTGGCCAGCTTGTTTTGATTGGGACTGTTTCATTATAAGTTTACCTTCAGAACAAACCAAGCTGGACAATGAAGAAAGCTGACAGACAAAAACCCCAAACAATTCATTCAAAATATAGTGATGGAGGAGAGCTTCACATGTACCACAGAACTGTCAAAAATGAGAGGGTTCTAGTTTAATCTTCTCCTAGAAGGTAGAGGGCATAAACTGAGCATATTGTCCTTTGGGCATATCATGAAAAGACAGGACTCTCTGGAAAAAATATAATAATGCTATGAACAGCGGGAGGCAACAGGAACAGTAGAAGACCTACCATGGGCTGGATTGACTCAGTAAAAGAAGGCTAATGGTTTCTTTGCTCGTTTCATTTTAAAAGCACTCAACTATTTACGTATCTCCCTCTACTTGGCTGTTTCGTTAATGGAACACATTGGAAAGTGATGTTGGCTTGTCTCTTTTCGTCATATTAACCTTGTTGTAAATAGGTTTGAAGGAGTGTATCCTTCTTCATAAGCACGTACTTTTTGCATAATGTGTATGTGTGTGTGTGTGTGTGTGTGTGTGTGTGTGTGCGTGGGTGCGTGTGTGTGTGTGTGTGTGTAATGTATATAAAGCCTACATTGTGTGTGTGTGTGTGTAGCAGTGTTCTATCTTAGAGGAATATCGACAGAGATTTCCTGGCGGCCTATGTTCCACCTCATAGGGTTAGAGATTCTGCTGTGCCATTGTGTCTGTGCTCTTGGTTCTAGGTATGTTCTTGGTGGTTCTTCTCATTCTTGCAGAGCAATCAGAGTTACTTCTCAGGGGAAACAGATAGAGCATTTGAAAACCAGTGCCTCCACTTCTCTAATGGCTCTGAACCTCTAAGAATAGAGCAGAATAGAGCAGACACTCACGTAAATGGCATAAAATTTAATGTTATCTAACTGCCCTTCTTTAGATTAGGAATTGGTATTGGCAAAAAAAGAGAGAGAGGGAGCAATACATATTAATCAATATACAAACTCAGATTACCTTCATAGGTTGCTTTGAAGCCCAGCAAGTTCTTTACACTGTCTGTCTGGAACAGGAGCCACATCTGATGCTGGGTGCTCACGATTAGATCAGGGACAGTGGTGCCTGTCAATCTGCAAAGAAAGAAGACAATGTGGTAGAAGGAGCAATCAGCATCATTGTCAGGATCATCATCACCATCATCATAATTACCATCCAAAATCTGGGAGAGAAAAGACACCAAAATATCAGACCAACCACTTCTCCAGAAATTTTCATCAGAATAGATGGTACTTAAAAGCAAGGGATGGGCCCCTATTCTTGTAAACATTTACTGTACTATTGCCAAATGCTGACATTTGAGCACAGCCTATGTGTACGGTGGGCATCCTCTCTCTAAGGAAAAAAGAGACTACTGAGAAAATGGGACACACACACCCATCAGTCCAACCATGACTATGGACATTTCTCATATGCTGGGGAACTGTAGATCAACTTCAGGGGTCAAAATGGCCTTGCCAGTATTATTGCCCCTTAATCTGCCTCTTTGAAATTTGCAGCCAGAATCTGGACATTGTCAGGAGTGGGTGGCTGCACTCATCCTGCACAGCTTACCTATAACTGCAGCAACACTCTTGAGATGCCTTACAGGGTGGCAACAGAGAGTCGCCAGGTGGGACTGGGCATCTTGCCCTCTTTTTCCCCGACCACTTGTAACTTCCTGCCCTTCGGCCGCTTCCTCTCAGATCACTTCCCCCTTCAAAGAAATAGTGTGGGCCATTTGTTGTCTTTCATTTGCCATGGAAAGCTGGCTGGTGGGCTTCAGCACACACTTGCACAAATACAAATAAACTCTAGACCCTCTTCTGTACGGACATCTAGGTTTCATCCTGTTTTAATCTGAGGACTGCATGTCCTCCTGCCTGCTAGGAGGAGATGAGGCTCATCGTCATCTGAGACATCTAACTTCCCCTTGAAAGAACGTTGGACTCCTGCCTGCCAGGCCCTCACCCTATCTTAAGAGGGGTGTCCCACTTTTTTGGCCTCATCCATGACAGTCTAGTGACCCTTATTTGAGTGCTGATGAGGCTCATCATCATCTGAGACAGTCTAGTGACCCTTATTTGAGTGCTGGGCCACTGCAAGACTAAGTAGAAACTATAGTTATCTTGTGGAACCATAAAGGTATGTTATTTCCTTCTGCCTTGGCATGAATAAGTGTTCCTTACTCGCCTGTTAGATTCTGCTGACTACCATAGATTGTGATGCTTCGAACACTACTACTGGCAAAATCAGAAAGCGCATCAAGACATGGTTCTTTCACAACTGCTTATTGGCATGACATCATGGCAACATGGCAAAAAGCTTGCTGCAGGACATCAGAAAATTCCTCTGCATTCTCTTCCCCTACGTGGTTTATGTGTCCTGTTCTGCCCAAGGCTTCACTTTCTGGCCACAAAGAGACACAAAATTCTCCAAAGCTGGAGTTGCTGGAGATTGAAAATTTGTCACATCCCTAATGCAACGAATACAATCTTTTTTAAGAGGGCACAACAGTTGTAATCACAATTGTGATTACTTGTTGACTGTGAGCTGTGCAGATCTTTATTGTAGTTCCTGTTGAGAAATAACATGAAGAATGCAAACCGTAAGGATTGGACTCTCCTCAGAGAAAAACAGAGATACTGTAAAATCGAAGTAAAGACTTAACACTAAACTATGATGAAGTCAAAAGAGTGTTAAAAACATTTTTAGTTTTTTAAAAAATAATACAATATGATGATTAAAAACATGCTGTATTCCCTCGTAAGTTGTAACCATGAGTGAACTAGTCAGTAAACAAGGTACAAGGACACGCTGGCAACGGAATTCCATTATCATTATAAATATAGCTTGCTTGCTTGCTTGCTTGCTTGCTTGCTTGCTTGCTTGCTTGCTTGCTTGCTTGCTTGCTTGCTTGCTTGCTTGCTTGCTTGCTTGCTTGCTTGCTTGCTTGCTTGCTTGCTTGCTTGCTTGCTTGCTTGCTTGCTTGCTTGCTTGCTTGCTTGCTTGCTTGCTTGCTTGCTTGCTTGCTTGCTTGCTTGCTTGCTTGCTTGCTTGCTTGCTTGCTTGCTTGCTTGCTTGCTTGCTTGCTTGCTTGCTTGCTTGCTTGCTTGCTTGCTTGCTTGCTTGCTTGCTTGCTTGCTTGCTTGCTTGCTTGCTTGCTTGCTTGCTTGCTTGCTTGCTTGCTTGCTTGCTTGCTTGCTTGCTTGCTTGCTTGCTTGCTTGCTTGCTTGCTTGCTTGCTTGCTTGCTTGCTTGCTTGCTTGCTTGCTTGCTTGCTTGCTTGCTTGCTTGCTTGCTTGCTTGCTTGCTTGCTTGCTTGCTTGCTTGCTTGCTTGCTTGCTTGCTTGCTTGCTTGCTTGCTTGCTCATTCATTCATTCATTCATTCATTCATTCATTCATTCATTCATTCATTCATTCATTCATTCATTCATTCATTTTGTATCCCACTCCCATTAGTGTCAAAGTACTGTCCTGGTGCCATTACAACACATATAACAGAGAAACAAAAATAAAGATAAAAACATTAAAAGCAACAACAATAACCCTAAAAACAGATGGCAACGACTAATCATATAAACTCAGAGTAGACAGAGGAAAAGGAGGGGGTAAAAATGGTCAGCTAAGGTGGGTGTGGAAAGCCTCCCTGCAAAGCAACATCTTTGTCACCATGTTGGTGGCTAGATGGAGCTCTTCTGGAAGCTGCTTCCATAAAGCTGGAGCCACCACAAGGAAGGCCCTCCTACTTGTAGAGGATTTATAGGCCTCCCTCTCGGTAGCCAGCCAGAGGAGTCTCGGCTGGGATGATCATGTGGGTCGGGCGGATGGCATTAAGGAAAGACACTCTGACAAGTATATCTTGGAAATGGATCGATGGCACATAAAAACAATGGCCAAAACAACAATATTGTTTTAATGAATGAAATGTTTTTAGTTTTAAACCCCAATAGCAATGAGTTAACATGGTCCAAGCACTGACTTTGAGTGTCTTTGTGCCTTATGATTTAATCCTGTCCCAGTCACACAGAGTGTCTTGTCTGTCTTTCCAGAAAGACAAAGATCTACAGCATAGCACTCTACTCTCTGCTGTCCTGGATGGTGCTGTTGTTAACTAAAAGTAAAATGGACAACAACAAAGGAGTCAAGTTAAAAACCAAAATAAAATTGAGGGAGCTGGAAAATGAGGCTCTTAACTGCTGCAAAAATTATGGCATGGCAAAAATTATGCATGGTCTGCTCCAATATGCATGACCACCATGATTAGTGGTGCTGACCACCATGAAGCTTTATTTGCAAATGAATCTCTTCCCAGTCACCTACATAGGACTCCTTGCTTCGCTTGCTTCTCAGATGCAGGTGCTTTGCTTTGAGGAACAGTGTGAAACTGAGAGATGAGTCAGGAATGCAGACAGAAAGATGTATCTGCAGAAAATGCATGTGGCGAGGAACAGAGGAAGGAGAACAGAACCGAAACAACAAGCCAAAAAAAAAAAAAATAGAAACACACAGAGATTTGTCCTTGTGAAACTCATGGCTGTGCACATGATCACTGTAACCAGATTTCTGAAAAATCAACTTTGGTACTAACAGTGTCTGTGTAAGACGTGTGACACATGCATGCACCATTTTACTGTACATTTCTTTAACAAGGTAGCCAAGTGACAGATTGGTGAAGTGTTGCCTACTCCAAGGGTGGGAAACCTTTGGTCCTCCAAATATTTTGGACTACAATGCCCATGATCCTTTACTATTGGCTTTGCTGGGCGGGACTGATAGGAGTTGTGAGCCAAAACACCTGGAGTGCCAAGGAATGTCCATCCTGAACTAGGAGATGGAATCCTAGGATACAATTAGGAAATAACTTTCCTGAATTGTTATGTATGTAGGAACCCAAACAGATAATATGATCTCCTTGGGATAAGGACCTAATGTTTCTTGGAAAGGGTGGTTTTCCTCCATCAGAGAAAAATGGTGTCCAGCTCCATCTTCTTCTTGTGACTTTGAATGATTCCTGGTGTTAAGAAGCTGAACCTGAGAGCAGTGGAGAGCATGATGGACTCACGAGACCTGAGTTCACATCCATAGAAACTCACATGGGGTGGCAACGATAAAACTGTTCCTTAAACATCTCACATACCTTGAAAACCCTACTAAGGTTGGCATAAATTAGATGCAACTTGGACAAGACATAGGAAAACACACACACGCACATAAAATAAGATGAATCTACACATGCAGCACAATGAGATGGTTGCTGTATGGCGGGAGATGATCCAAAGGGCACAGCTATTTAATAATAACAATGACCCAGCAATAAGGTGACAGGGTTACCGAGCTCAGGCAAAGGGCACAGCTATCTAAGTATTCTTCTGCATTCTTGGAAACATTAGGGTGAATCTTTTCATATACAGTACTTTCCATACGCTAGTGGCGGAGGACAAGTATCTCCTATGCAAAAAGCAACAATTACTGCTACAGCAAATTGCTGCCAGTTGGGGAAAAACATTACAAAGTTCTAACCCGTATTAATTTTCAATATGCAGGGTAAACTTAATTAATTAATTAATTAATTAACGCTGCCAGTTGGGGAAAAACATTACAGAGAAAGTTCTAACCCATATTAATTTTAAATATGCAGGGCAAACTTAATTAATTAATTAATTAATTAATTAATTAATTAATTAGATTTATATCCCACTCAGCTGGTATATTCTACAATGAAGTACTTAAGTAGCTTAAGTAGGAGAAATAATAATAACAATGACCCAGCAATAAGGTGACAGGGTTACCTAGCACTAATCACATGTATGTAAGAAATGCTTTCAGAAATTAAGCAATTCAGTAGGGATAGGGACTCAAGTTGCAGGATTCGCTTTGAAGCTTCCCCTTCTACCACCTGGGGGACTTCTACTTTTTCAATTCGCAACAATCTGAACATGCTTTTCCCCATTTGGTTCATTGTGATAAGTTACTGCAATAATGGCGGAGACGGCATGTCTATACTGTATGTGGTGCTTACGTAATGTTGGCAGTTGGGCATCGTGTTGAGGACCAGGGGAAGAGGCCTCAGCACTCTTAAATTGAACATTTTTTATTGCAAAAAGGTGACATTCATTTTTTGGTGGCTCGCCTGGGATAAATGCCTGACCTGGAACAGTTTGTGACCTAGGCTAGCCCTAAACTCAACCTAATTTCCTGTTCAAATAGGAAGCGGCCCCAGTCCTTGTTGGAAGCTTCCTTTCTGAACAGGAAGCTAGGTAGAACTAGGTCTACTAGGTCCACAAAGTCTTTTCGGTTAGGCCTTTCTCCCAGGTGAGCCATAGAAGCTAGATAGAACTAGGCCTACTAGGTCCACAAAGTCTTCTCGGTTAGGCCTTTCTCCCAGGTGAGCCATATTTAGGCCTTTGTCTGTCAGGTGGGACTCCCAGAATGGGGAATTCTGGGATTTATAATTTTTAAAAGCCAAACAAATGGCACATATCTAATGTCAACATGTCAACCCCTTGTGGCTTCATACAGATGTTTAATTAACACAGAGGAATGAATGAGATCCGAACATGCAGCTGCCAAGTGGCAATTACATTTAGTTGCAATTTCTTTTTTGTGCCTAAATCAGCTCTACAAATTCTACAGCTCTGTACCTCTATTTCTGAAGAGGAACATTGCACTTTCTTTTCAAATTATTTGGTATTCTTGGTCCCTCATTGTATCTGGCAAAAAAGAAGAAGAAGCTTGGTTTTGCAAGGTGTCCTCTCTGCATCATTTGCCCATTGTAAATTCATTTTGGTCTTCTCAACAGGAATGTTGCTGGCACAGAGTTTTCTGGGTGGAAACTGTTCATGTTCATCTCTGAGAATGAGGGAGTTGCTCCCTTCCCCAGTGAGTGCCTCATCCACATGCATCTTCCAATACATAATTTATCCATCCGTCCATCCATCCATCTTCAAGTAAAGACTAAGAACAGTTACTACTTTGTGTCGAGAGGGGAATTGGTAATGGCATTAGCTTCCCTCATAATTCAGTCTGAGCTTGGTCTAATGTACTTGTTTTTTCCAGGCAGTTAGTGTAATGTGGTTTGAAAGATTGCTTACTAGATGCATTTCTAGCCTCAAGGTCATCCCAAGCTGCAGTTTGGCAGCCAGTGACCGGAGAGCATTATGGGGTTATCTCAGTTCCTTGACAATCGCTCTGAATTCTCCACTAAGCAACCAGAGGATTTCAGTGCAGTGGAAGGAAACTGGGCTCCAAGACCTACAGTATTTGATTTCTAGCTGGTCTTTCAATCTAGAAGCTATCACTTCAAAGTTTTGTTATATTTGTTATACATTATAAATTTATTATTTAAAGCATCACTTAATTTTATTGCTCAGTGACACAGGGAAGTAGGTGGGGTCTCTTCCCCAAAGATCAGATTCATTGTACAAGCTGCTTTCAGGAACAGTGAAGGAAACCACGGCTGTAATATGAGACTTAAACCTCCAGAGGTCTAGTGATGGTGGAGTGGGTGATAGTTCCACCATTTTGGATCACAGTGGACATCAGTCACATCTAGCATCTGGTTGCAGATTGCCCCAATCATGCACAGGACAGGCAGAATACATGGGGAAAATCAACATGAGGAACTTAATGACTCTGGCAGTTTGTCATTGCCAGCTATCCTTATGGGCAAATTGTGTTTCTGTCATACTTCTAATGAAACATTTATTATGGAACATGAATTGTACATGGTGTGTAGGTGCTTTTAATTTAATATCAATTATGTGCAAATTAATTTCTATGTTGCAAAGACGAAAAGTAGCCCAGAAATGTAATCAACAATCAAGCAAGGCAACAAACGGACTTCACATTGGAGAACCTGGATACGAGTCGTTTATCACTGACTGGATAAATGCCATCCACCACTTCCCCAGTTCTGACTAGTTTTCTCAGTTCATGTTGACCTTCTACGTGTAGAGAGATTTAGCCCTTGGTCTTTGCAGGTATAAGGGAAGACTCTGAGGAGAGATAAGGCTCAGAGAGCTTCCTCAGGAGAAAGTCTATTCTGTATGCAGCCCCCATCCCTCCCTTCAGCTAAAGGAGACAGCTTTGCCACCATTCACTGAGTCAGATTATCAATCTCCCTATCATGCTTGAGCCAGGGGCAAAAATCCATATGCTCAGTTACTGCTCATATTCCTGGAAAGGCTAAACCAACTCTAGCAGACTGGAACCACCTTCACACTGAAAGGACCTGCTTTGCCTAAGGAGTCAAAGGATGAAGCTGTGTAACCAATCAACCCTAGAAGTCAACAGCATCAGAAGCCACAGGAACAGTCAATCATAAGTCAACAAAGCTCACGTCTGTGGGCAAAGAAACACAAGGTTCCGTAGGAGCAAGAAGGCTCTGTGGTGGCAAGTGAGCTCCTCAAGGACAGTGCACACTCAAGAACTGAAAACATTAAAGTCTGGTGCAAATGCCTGCCATTGTTTGCGTATGGGGCTCTGAATGAAAAAAACCCAAACTAACCCACTCAGAATGTTTTGCCTTTTCAACTGTGGGACAAACACAAGCTCTACTGTTGTGGAAACCAGCTTCCTGCTGAAGCTTGCCTGTTTCTTCCTTCTGATTTTTAGCATCCCTATTCTTGAACTGGCTCTACTGTCTTCCTCTGCTGTCTATGATCTCAGTCATGCTTTTGATTTAGACTTTGCATCCGGCTCACAACCAGATGGAATTTTTTGGCTTCACCTCATATTACTCAGCCACACAGGGCTACCTGTGCCCTTCCATTTGCAGTCCCACCCTCTAGCAGAACCTCCATTTCTCCAGTATTGCAGACCCCTGAGAGATCAGGTGAAGAAAGGGACCCTTAACAGTTCCGTCTGGCTTGTTCAGAGACAGTGGAACTCTGAACCATAGATCTTAGTTACCTATATATAATGGTTCTACAACCCTTTAAAAAAGCTCACAAATCCCACTGGAAGCACCTCAGATGCTTTTTACACTCCATAAAACAAGACAACATTGACACTGTTGTGCATATTTCACTACAGCCATTTTGAAAACACTGTGTTTGGAATATATCATGTGTATTAATGAAGCACTGAAAGGTAAGAAAATACTGAGCCGAAGGCAACAGAGGCTGGCTGGATAGCTCAGTGAGTTAGGATTCTGGCTGGGGAGCCAGAAGTGGGGAGTTTGATTTCCCACTGTGACTCCAGGGAGAAGAGCCGGCCTGTATAGCCATGGGCAAGCTACATAAGTCAGAACTGACTTGATGCTACACAACAATAATGTAACAAAAAGGAGGATGGGAATGACATAAAATTGTCAGGCCAGTCTCACTGCTGTGAGTCTTTAGAGTGAACTTAAATATCCCACTCAGAATTTCCAGGGGAGCAATTGCAGATCTAAGAAACCAAGGCAGCTTTCAACTACAAGCTAACAGAATGCGATATTACAATGACTTAAACCTACACAGATCAAACTTATCAACTTAGATCTAATACCATTTACTGCTTGGTCAAGAGCTCTGCCACACATCTATGATTCCAGAGCCTCCCTTCCATCAGAAGGACCATTCCACCAAAACCTCCATCCTTTTTCGACACCACCAAGATAGAGCAGTAGATTATTTCATAGACAAAGGTGGGCATACTGTATGCAGTTTGTCACCAAGTCCATAGTACTGCTTGTGACTTTGATGTGTTTACAGCTTCACACAATCATAGAACTGTAAGTGTACTTACACATAGAGCACGCTCTTCTGGTCGCCAACCTGGCCTCCGTCCCCAATGGTGAGGGTGTCATATCCTCTCTCCAAGTCAAATTCTTCAAAACTGAGCTTGATGACCTACCAAAGACACGTGGGTTACACCAAAGGGTTGGAAAGTTGGGACTGTAGCAACTGAACAGAAGAAATAATACCTTTTCAGACCTTGTTGTATCTGGTTTACTCATCACACAAGGAAGGAAACACACCTAGCTCTGCCTCCTGTGGTGTCTCATTCTTTATGTGAGGACCCATGACTCTGAAATAAAGAGGTTCCCATTCTCATGATGTCTCTCCCAGAAAGCAAGAACCTAGTTTGCTCATGCGTTGTTTCTCTATGTGTAAAGAAGCTTATATTTTCAGACTCATCCTTCTCGTTTCCCTTCTCACACGCTGAATGAATGGTGCATTCAACATCAGCTGTATAATGCTTGAATAGGGCTACAGAGAAGGGAGCTAATGTCAAGTAGTGACTAGAGCTGGGATACAAGATACCCACGTCCAAACATTTCTGACCCATAAAGCTAACTAAGTGGACCTTAGGGAAGCTGTAATCTTATGGTATGGACTATCTCATGCAGGTCTTGTAACAATGAACATATGGTGTAAAGGTCTGTATGGTGTTACACAATGGTTACCTTTGACTGCTCCAGGAGTTGGCTTAATTAATTTTGCCTTAAACATATATAAGCTATGCATGTAATTATGTATCAGCCGTATTCTCAGCAATTGTCTCAACATAGTCAATATGATTAATGCATCAAGCTTGGACTCAGTAGGCAGCAGGCCAGTCAGTGTGGCCTACTTCACGGAGTGGTGCTGACCTAGGCTCCTTGAAGAAGGGGTGAGATGCTGGTCTTCAGTAGCAAGTTCTGACATAAAATGAGTGATGGATGGACGGAAAAGGGACGTTGTTATCTACATGCTGGAAAGACCCCAGAGGATTTTCAGAAAAATGTTTAAAGAACCTTCAGCACCAGGCAGCTCCTCAGAAAGAAAGGATGAAAATAAAAGAAGGACTGCAGTGAGAACCAAGCGTGGTTAATCTGGAAGCTTAGTCATGGCAACTGGGCTTCTTTCTTATTAGGTTGAAACTCAACTACTCATCCAAGTAGCTTCTTCAGTCTGAGGAGGGTTGGTAGGAGACTCCTAATATCTCCTCCACTTTGGTTTCACTTCCCCCTGGTCTGAATAGGCTCCTTAGATGGACAAAGGACAAAGGGGGGTGAGGGATAATCCCACTTCTGCAGTCCTTCTCCGCCCATTGTCACCGGCCGTTAACAGTCGTTGATGGTCATCTTTCTGGTGGATGTGGTCCTGATCTTTCTGTGGATGGATGAAAGGGCAGCATGATAAATAGGAGACAGATTGTATCTAAAACCTCCACCCCTGTTGAGTGAGGGATTTTCTATATGTTTCAAACTTATAAGAAGTAAGTTGAGTTGCCATGACTCAGCTTCCAGATGACTGGATGACTGAGAATCTTCACAGATATGAATGCTTACGTTGCTAGATATGGAACTGTTAAATCCAGATGCAAGTCCTCACTGGTTCACAAAATTCACCTGGAGGTGGGGGCACTGGGGCAATCTCTCTCACCCAAACAGCACTTGTAAAGATTAAGGTGGAAGCTCGCAGGGGAAAAGGGGTGGTGGTATAAATACACACATGTGTGTAAAAGCAGTTCACAGTATTGCAGTGAAAGACATGGATGACAGGCTGGGGCCCTTTGGTTGCCAGTCACAAACATATAAAATGTGACCATCACCACAGTAATGCTGCTTTAAGACAACTGCCCCTTGAATTTTCTGCTCAAGCTTTCTCCCTGCCGCCGGCTTGAGCACACTGCAGCACCACGTTTTGCTCCAAGAAGATTTAATCAAGGAGCAAATGACATCTGATTTTTACTGGCGGAGAGGCTGATAAAATTTTACATGGTAGTTCGGAAGCCATACTCTAAAGACAGTGAAAGTCCTCTGTTTATGTGTGTTGCTGCATATGCAGTGATGCCTCCCCTCTTTGCAATTTTTTGGCTATGAAACTCATCAGTGCATGAAGGGTCCTGAGAAATTATGTCTCTCAGGGTCATTAGAAATGCCTGTGCGAGCAGCAGACAGAAAAGCGGGTAACCTACATAACACCTCGGTCACCGCTGTGGAATACAGAGGGAGCAAGTGGAGAGACTAGAATAGTTAAGAAAAGGTGGAGAAGATCGATGGGGACTCAGAGGACCTTTTGCACTGGAAGGGAATTCAGATGCTATCATGGCCCTCACAACGCCATGAGGTTAAAGCCGACAACAGGCTACAGCTTACGGTTCATGGGTGATGTGCTTCAGAATACTATTTAACAAGGAACACATATTGTGCTTTTGGCAAAAGAAGGTGTTTCCCCACCACCACTACTTATGTCCTGCTTATGAGATTTGAAGAGGGATCTGTGTATCTGGAGAGCTTATTTGTCAGTGAGGGCATTCTTAGAACACCCCCAGTGAGCATGGCCAGCTGCAGGCTAGAAAGGATTCAAGATGTCCCCTTCCAGAAACGAAGGAGACTTATTGGATGAGGACTAGGGATGGGGGAGAATTTTGTTTCACTCCATTGTTTTCAAAAATCTGTTCCAAAATGTCCAAGTTTCTTGATATTCATGATGAAAGGAATTTGAAAGTTTAAAAAAAAGGGGGGGGGGAGAAGGAAAAAAGGAAATGAATTTGGAAGAAATTGAAACTGACAAGATTTCAATCATTCAGACTGAGAACTTTGAATTCCTGACTCTTTAAAAGTCTGGGTTTGAATCCTGATGTATTTAAACATGGGCTTTGCTAGACAGGGAATCTATCTGTATCTCCCCCCCACCCCCGGTTTCAAAGAAAAAGGATTACTGAGACTGGCTTCCAAACTTAACTTTAAAAACCCCTGTCTCTTCTCTATACAAGCTACTTGTAAGAAATGTTAAGAACGTTTTTAGAAATCTGCTTCTCTTCCTGGATCTGTGTGTGCTTCTTGAGTACCAGAAGAAAACTTCTCAACAGGTGCTTTCACAACGAGCATCTACAATAGATAGGAAAGACAAGTGTGCCTCTGTTTATTTTAGCAATGCTACAAATAAGCACCCTTCTCAAGAGGAACAAAACAATCTGGAAGAGTGCTAGATGACCAAGATAAGGGGCAAGTTATGTGAATGGTGAAAAAACACCAGTAACATCAAGGGAGAACACAGTATTTTAAGGAGAACAAATTCTCCACATGGAAGAGTCTTATGTGATTCATCAATTAGGGCTCTCACCTCAAACGTAAACATCTGATAGGCTTGTCAGATTTAGGATTGTTGGATAGTTCAGTGGTTTAAGTATCTGGTTGTTGAGCCAGAGTTTGAGAGTTTGATCCTCCAATGTACCTCCTACACAGGAGCTGGACTCTATGATCCATAGGGTGCCCTGCAGTTCTATGATGATGATGATGATGAGGAGGAGGAGGAGGAGGAGGATTTCCACCCTACTATTACTATTACTATTACTATTACTATTACTATTACTATTACTATTACTATTATTACTATGCAGATACAACAGACAAGTATAACATGGTCCTCTCCATGATGAAAACAACTCTATGTATGATATCTGGACAGTGCAGGTGAATTGAAATTTCAGTTTTCTTCTGCAGCATTTAAGCAAAAGCCTTTGAGGTTCACATGTTCAGAGAAATTGATAGATATTCTTCTCTGTCAAGAAGATCCTGTCCCACAGAGGTCAAATGCAGGAGCAAGACTGGCATCACGTCAACTGGGGAGCGGTCAGACTTTCATTTCAGTTCACTTTTTATAAGAGTTAATTGGCATTTGCAAATTTCTCAGAGCAGAAGAACGTGAGATAAAAATATAGGTTAAATGGGGGAGAAGCCCAAACTGCCAGCTTCATACATCCAGGCTCAGCGCTTAAAAACTTGAGCTTGGATCTCTGCCTTTTCCTCTGTGTTACTGCTGAATAACAACTGCCATCACTGGATCCTCTTCTCTGACAGGCTTTTCATTTTTTAAAAAAACATTTTTTAACAGACATATGTCAAGCACGGACAATGCATTCCTCTCCATGGTGGAACCAACCGTATCTATTGAATTTGGATGGAGGAGACTCTCAGTTTAGCTTGTTTTTTGAAAATTCATAACCGTCGTACTGCAGATGGAAGGAACATGAGGCTCAGAAAGGTGAAATGGGGAACATGAATGTTATGCACTTCCCACCCCACGTGTCATGGGCTCAGCAGTTGAAAATAACCTGCTTTATTTAAGGCAGCAACATTACAGCTATTATAAGTTAAATGGGAAGGAAAGGCACTGAAGCAGCTAATCCTTTGGTTTTGAAAAATAACATACTGAAAGCAGTATTTTAATGTGATACTAACTTGACCTCCAATGTTCCTCAAAGATTAAATGCAACAGTGTCTTTTCCTCCTAACTAACGCAATAGATGGTGCTGGAGGAGAGCTCTGTGGACACCCTGGACTGCCAGAAAGATGAACATGTGGGTCCTCGATCAAATCAAGCCTGAACTCTCTCTGGAGGCAAAAAATGTTGAAACTGAGGATGTCCTACTTTGGACACATCATGAGAAGGACGGATTTTCTGGAAAAGACAATAAAGTTGGGAAAGGTGGGAGGCAGCAGAACAAGAGGAAGACAAATATGAGACAGATTAATTCCCTAAAGGAAGCCACAGGGTTGAGTTTACAAGAGCTGAGCAGGGCAGCTGAGGAGAGGACATTTTCAAGGTCACTCATTTATAGGGTTGCTCTAAGTCAGAGGCACCTTGATGGCACAAACTGTAACAACAATGATTTTAACATGTTAAATAAAACCCATTAGCTGCAAGCTGTCTGTGAGCTATGGCTAGCAAGAACCATCCTAATACCATTTTCTCGCCTGCTCAGCAGGACACAGATCCAGACAGCTGAATAAGACACAGGTATACAGTGTATATATATATAACCCAAGGAATTCACCTCTGCCATGTATCAAAAATATTATTAAAAAGCATGTACTGATGAAATAGCTTAATTAATATTAATATAAAGAACAAAGGGTTGTCAAACGACACACATCATTAGTTAAAGCAGCCACTCAAATAAGCCTCATTTTAACAAGTCTGACCCTAATTAAATAACTAATTACATTTTAGAACACTGTAGACCATAACCTTGTTGTAGAGAAACAAGTTTCTGGAATCCAGGAATTATTTATGTATTCCTTTTCTTCCTTCCTCCCTTTCTAGCCCTTTTTCCTTGCCCTAGTTTTGCTTTTGCTTTTAGTTTAAGATTGCAAATTATTCAATGAGTCGTTAAATAAGAAGAAACCTCCTGGCAAATATGGATAAATGGGTGACATGAAGTTCCCTTTAAAAAGACACACACACACACAGGCACACAAACAGAGAGAGAAACCAAGTGATGCGCAGCTTGTGAGGTTTCGAGTGGGCTCCGTTCTCTGCTATGGCGTTGCTGTAAACAGATGTTCAATAGCTAAGGAAATGTTCAGACTACTGCAGCTAAGTGTTGCTGAGGTTCAGAGTCCAGACTGTCCTAAATCCAGTTATATGTCCATCTCATAAAACCTCTGGAACAGGGGCAGGCATCTCTGAAGGGTTTCAGGGTTTGCACCCTTCCCATTTTCTATCCCCCCAATGACATCTGTCCCCATTTGAAAATGAGAAAATTTAAACAGCATTAAAATGGAAAATCAGACTTTGGAGGGCATCTGTGGGGTGTTTCTGTTTAAGGCTCTTTTTTTTTGAGTGGGGGAGAGGCAGTGGGTTAGGCTGGGGAGGGGAGTAATGGGTTGTAGTGGGGGAGGATTAGTGGGTGTCAAGTAATGTGTAAATTACTCAGCTCCAACCCTTTAAGACTTCCAAATCTGGTCCTCTTTGAGCACATGGAACACCTTATATGGAATCAGAACACCGGAGGGTCTTCTCCTGTGCGGCTGCATCCAATCTTGAAATGCTCCGTAGATCAGCTTCCAGGGGTTACACCAGAACTCCCAAATATAAGTTGCTATTTGCCATTAAGTTGTAACCGGCTCATAGCCGTCTTAACAGGGTGTCCAAGGCAGAATGTAGGACACAGTATGACTACCTCAGTTGTAGGTTTACCTTGTCACACACAGAGAGACACAAACACACAAAGACACACAACACACAAATGTGCACAATAACAACAACCATGTGCCATCAAGTTGGTTCTGACTTATGATGACCCTTTCCGGGGTTTTCTAGGTAGTGAGTATTCAGAAGTGGCTTTCCATTCCCTTCTTCTGGGGGCGCCTTGGGACTGTGCAGCTTTTATTTAATCTGGATTACACAGGTTTCTATTTACACCCAGAGGATTTTGCCCACTGAATCAGTAGGATTTATGTGTTTCATTTGCACGTTTTCCCCACTCCAATAGCCATTAAAGATTGATCCATTAATGGGTCTGCTCTAGTTGAGACAATCGTTGGATTAATATATATGAGATATATCTACAACATCTCTGACATTTGCATTCCTCCCTCCCCCTCCTTGTGATGCCATCTATCATGGGAAAAGTCTGAGCTTCCTACCTACCACTGAATCCTCTCTGTCTACCCTCCCTCTCCCTTATGTGCACGCCATGCTTCACCGTGTCATGTATTACTCTTTTTGCAGTCTCTGCAGATTCTTGTGACAGGAGTCAAACGCTAAAAGGAATTGATTTGTTTTCCACCTTCTCTCTCATTGTCTCTCTCTTTTCCCCTACCTTTCCTCATATGTCTGGGAAGAGAAGCCCATGGGACGTCAAGGAACATTGTCAGCTATTGAAACATGGGGGAAAGACATCAGACTTCGACTGTGGAACAACATCTTTTGTTAATAGGAACAAGCTCCGTAGTAAGAAGTGGGCTCAGCTGCAGTTATGTGAAACCCATCAATATAAGTTTGAACTGAACATATCGTTCAGAGAGCAGAGGCCTAGGAATCTGTCAGGAGAGCAGAGTATTTTATTGCTAAAGTGTTTTTGCTCAGCAGTCTAGTGCACTGGTTCTTAACCTTGAGTTACTCAGGAGTTTTGGACTGCAATTCCCAGAAGCCTTCACCACCAACTGTGCTGGCTGGGGTTTCTGGGAGTTGCAGTTCAAAAACATCCGAGTAACAAAGCTTTTTGCTCAGCAGTCTAGTGCACCTTTCCACTTCCATCTACCAGTAAAAGCACCTATACAGCATATGTATTATTTAATAATTGATCCATTCCTTCAACAATAAAAATAAAATAAGGAGGTTAGATGCACAACAGGACAGCAATAGAGGAGTTTGGAAGCATGTCTTCTTGGCCATAAGGACCATTAACCTGTTACTTCTTTGGAGATCAAAAGTAATATTCCCAGAAAGCGGATAGTTGCTGCAGAGGGCATCTAAGGTGGATGCTGGATGAAGGCATGGAGAAGTGAAAATGGGGAATGGAGGAGATCCCTTGCAATGCTGGATGAAGACATGGAGAAGTGAACAACAGAAAATGGGGAATGGAGGAGATCCCTTGCAGTTCAGAGGAGTAACAGGGACAAGAGAACATAACAGCCAGCAGCTGCCAGCTTCAGATAAAAAGGGCTCAATACCTTACATAGAAAGTAATCTGGAAACACAGGAAACATGACTTTCCACAGTATATTTTTGCACAAGTCATTTCAAATCCCTCAGAAGATTTTGCCTAACTGTACATCTGGGACAAATGTGGTTGTAATCCAAACCCAGAAGTGAAGCCCTCCAAATGTGTTTGATGACACCTCACTTTAGTTTGTGATGAGGAAATGTTGGGTGTCACAATCAAACAAATATCTGGAGGACTCTGTTTTAACCATCCCACTTTAATGCTTTCTGAGACACTTCAGTTTCTTTCATAAGTTTCCACCCTCCTCTTCCTATAAACTGCTTGTGAATCTTCTCTCTGATTCGTCAGCAATTTCTGTAAATACTTCCTGGCTAAACACAAAGTCCCCATCTTTTCTTACTTGGTAAGTATAGTTCTAAAAGGGACGTGGTAGCGCTGTGGGTTAAACCGCAGAAGCCTCTGTGCTGCAGGGTCAGAAGACCAGCAGCTGTAAGATCAAATCCACGCAACAGAGTGAGCTCCCTTTGCATGTCTCAGCTCCTGCCAACCTAGCAGTTCAAAAGCATGTAAAAATGTGAGCCGATAAATAGGGACCACTACGGTGGGAAGGTCATGGCATTCTGTGTCTAGTCGCACTGACCGCGTGACCACGGAAACTGCCTTCGGACAAAACGCTGGCTCTATGGCTTGAAAAAGGGGATGAGCACCGCCCCCTAGAGTCGGACACGACTGGACAAAATTTTCAAGGGGAACCTTTACCTTAAGTATCGTTCTGCAGTCTCTCTTTGTCAGTGCTACAAGCCATGTTATTTCTTGCTTCCTACCTCCCTGTTCTCAATTGCTCGCCTTGTTAATGACCTGAAGCCATTCCTGCATCAAAGTAAAATCTTTGCCTGATTGCATTCTGTAGACTGACCCATCATTGACCCTGTAGTGACATTTTAGCCATACAATTTTCTGATCCCTGCAGTGCAGTCCTTGATCTCTAATCTTGATACTGGCAAATGTTTTTTCTCTTCCCATAATCTGAAACAACACCCCCCCCCAATCAGATTCCCCCAGAGAGGGCATATATTCCTACCTTGGCTGGATTGACTGCCGTTATCACCCACACACAGTAGGCATTGTTATCGTACTGGACAGGATAGTTGGGTGATGTGATAACACCACTGGGGCCTCGGAGATACGTATCACACATCCTAGCTGTGGAGGTGGGGAAAAAGAAGAAAAAGGAAGAAGCATGTGTGGCGGGAATTTGCTGGAAGACTTTTCTTACTGTATATCAAGTCTTAGGAATCACACAACCAACACACTGGAACGCATGGAAAGTAGGGAGAGGAGAATTTATCAGGTTCAGTTTAGGCATTTGAAATGGTTAATTCCTCCCCCCCCCATCTTAATTTGCACATCTACATCAAATCTGTACATATTTCTGCATATTAGTGGGCATGTTTTTCGAGACATAAGAAATTTTCTATGTGTATTTCAAGTTATGGGGGCACATAACTTCTCTATACAAAAAGAGTTTTTAGGCCCATTTTCCCAGAATTTTTTTACCACAGCTTTTGAAGTATGCAATACAGTGGTGCCTTGCATGACGACGTTAATTCGTTCCAGCAAAATCGCTGTCGAATGAAAACGTCATCATGTGATTTTAAAAAGCCCATAGAAACGCATTAAAACCCAATTAATGTGTTCCTATGGGCTTCAAACTCACCGTCCAGTGAAGATCCTCCATAGCGCGGCCATTTTCGTTGCCCGTGCAGCGAGGAATCCGTCCCAGAAAACAGCTGGCAGCCATATTTTTCACCCGGCGGCCATTTTGAAACTGCCGATCAGCTGTGCAAAAATCATCGCTTTGCGATGATCGGTTACCGAAGCAGGGAACCGATCATCGCAAAGTGAAATTCCTCCATAGGGAACATCATTTTGTGATCGCTTTTGCAATCGTAAAAACATCGTTATGTGATTTCATCGTCAAACGGAGCGCTCGTAAAGCTCGTAAATATACTGTACATATATATTTTAAATGCATGTACTTCTTCGCCACTGACTAAATGCAATGCATGCAGTTCTTCACCACTTAATCTTCAGTTTTTCATATCTAACTCCATAACAAAGGAGTTACAAGTTATAATACTTTTTTCCTGCAAAATGCACCACAGACTTCTAAGAATTTAGATCCCACTTCATCTTTGCCTTCCAAAATGTAAATTTGGTATGCCTACACAGAAATGCAAACAATGTATTTCTTACTTCTCTTCAACTGGATGTTTCCATAAGTACATAATGGACAGCTAACAGAAACAAGTCTCTTTGCCATGTATGGAGAGTCACTGGGGATAAGCACATGCCTGCCATATTTCTTCCTGCCTGAGACTAAGTAAACCAACTGGGAACAAAAGGACAGTCACGCATCCGGTAGACCTTAACGCAGGGCTGCCAAGCTGGGTTCAAGCTGCTGGGTTACAGACTGGAATATATTTGGATGAATCTAAGGAAGAACGTGCTCACACTTGCAGTTCCATGGGGAACAAGAGTGGAGAAGGCACCGCCTTTCAGATGTTGTTGCAGTACGACACCCATCACCCTTAGGTAATAGGGAGGGGAGCTGTAGTCCAAGAACAACTGGAGGGCCACACCTTCTACGTCCTCATGTAAAGTAACAACAATGACAGAAGATGCTTAAAACACCTGGCTTGTGCAGTGTGATCAGTTCAAGGAATATTTAGCCATGAAAACCAGAACAAGCTCTTCGTTCAAGCAAATCAGCAAATATTGAGGGTCAGGGAGAATCTTTCGGAACTAAGGATCTTTTTTTCCTCCCTGCTCCCTTTATTAACATAGTCCAGGAGGTTTCAGTCTTTTACACAGTTACAAGAGTAAGCCCTGTTGAAATAAACTTGGCATTCTTTCAGTGGAAATGTATAGGACTGTCTGGCAATTTCTCACAATCAAAATAAATCAAATGGTTTCTAAGTATTAAAATTATGATGTGATTAAAAAAAACCAAAATCCAGATTATAGTCCAGCATTTTATGGTTGAATCCTAGAGCAATTATTCACCAGTAATCGAACGTTTCTTACTTCCTAGCCAAAGGGTTAGAAATGCAGAAGCATTTCTTTTTCTTACACATCACACGTGGAATCAATATTAACCTGAACTGGAATTCTAAACGGCCAAGAGAAACGTATCAGATTGTCCATTGAATCCTGCCTCTGTAGAAGGAATAAAGTGGTTTGGAACAGGTTGTGCGCATATATAGACATCTCAAGCTGGAGGGAATACGTTTCTATCAAAGAGAAAGAGAGAGAGAGAGGAAGAAGCAGACACCCGGTACTGGCTGATAAGCAGATTCTTGGCAACTCCATTAAATCTGTGTGGTTTCCCCATAGTGAGGTGGGGTGGCAGCTTCTTTCACCCATAGCCTGGAGGCCTCATCTATCCCCAACATAGTTAATATTTAATAGAAGGCAGCTGCATTAAGCTTAATTTTTCCAAAGACTCTGGGACAGTGGAGGGGGCAGTCCTTCTGAAAAACATTTTGAATAAAACACACACACAGAGGTGGGGAGAGGAGGAGATGGGGGGGGAGAAGGAGGAGGAGGAGGAGGAGATAAGAGGAACATATTTAGAGAGGGAGAACTCTCTCTCTCTCCAGTGCTCCTGGGGAAATCTGTCAGCTCAGATGCCAGAATCAAAGCTCACTTTGGATTAGGCTTCAGATTCGCCAAAGACTGGTTTGAGAGGAAACATATGAGGAATTGCTTTCAGAGTCTTTTTCAGCATGAGGAGGTACATAGGGAGTCTCCTTCTACTGAGTCTGATCACAGTTGTCTGTGTAGCGCCATGCAGTACTGACAGTAGCTCTCTTTGGCCGTTACACAAAATGGCACCATGAACACGCTAACGGCGGAGTGCTTAGAGGCAGCAACCCCCTTGCCTACCACATTCTTCACATTGCTTTGATTTGAAGAGCTGAAATGTTCTGTTCACATGCAGGCTCTACACATGAGTAAGAACGATGGGAAAAGCTGGGCGCATGTTTGCTCGCCGAGTCTCCATGTGAACACAGCCTTTCCTCTCATCAGATCCAGAAAGGGCGAAGAGCATGACCCGGTGACACAAGCCTCCCCTGTAAGTGTGTTCACAATGTCAGCCTTTCCAATGCCTGAACTCTCTTGGTTGTCCTGTGGGGCCCTTTCCCAGTCCGATCTAGGAATGTCAAGGATTGCACCAAAGACTTCTGCATGTGAAGCATGTGCCCCGTACAACCACAGGGAAAGTTACTTTTTTTGGATGATAGCTCTCAGAATGGAGAGTTCATGGCTGCATGACTGTTAGCCACTAACAGGCTCATTTTCCATGAATCTGTCTAATTCTTCTTTAAGGAATCCAAGCAGGAGGCCATTGCTTCATACTGTGTCAGGGTGTGCCACAGGTTGATTGAACATCTCTTTTGGTCTGGTACCCAACATGCAGCCACAAAGGGGCATGCGTGGTAGATACCTCCACTTTTCTCGCGGTGTGTTCAGTAAATGTTGTGGGGCACTGTCACCACAGCCCTAGACACAGAGGCCTCTTGCATGCTCAGCCTGGGTGTTTTTATAGGGGCCGGGATTTAACATATGGCCCAGTCTGGTCACTTTTTTCAAGAAACTTCCTCCGTCATAGGGTACAAGTTGACTCAATCTCATCAGATCCTTACAATTCCTCATCACAATGTCTTGATACATCGATAGAACCTAAACTGACAAGAACAGGGATAGTAAGAGCTAAAGAAAGGGTCCGCTCTGTCCACCCTGTGCAGCATGGAGCTGTCTAGAAGAGGCCCACATATGCATACGGGCAGCTAAACAAACAAACAAGAATACAGAAATGTTTATCCTAAATGCTATATATTTAACATAACGGCAACCTAATTCCCAATGCTAAGCAAAAGATCTTACAAACAAAAGGGTGAGAATTTTTTAAAAAAATGTCTATGGTGCTTTAAAAGAACGTTTAATGATGGAGACATGCAGGAGTGTACTGTGTGTCATTTTGGACCATCACAAAATGCTGTGGAAGGCACACAGCTTGGAAAAATGACATTTTGTACAGTAACTTTAATTCCCAGTCAACAAGGCCACTGGGGGAATTCTTGAGAGCTGTAAGTGGAAAAGGAGAACCCGGAATCTCCAAGGTCTGGCATTTGCCTCCTGGCCATATCCTTCAGCACAATCACATCTTGCTTGTCCTCCTTTCTAAGCGAACCTCCCCTGTCTTGCAAGCCCAAGAGAGAAAGAGTCTGCCTTTTTCAAATGGGACACAAAAGCTTTCTGCCTGTATTTGTTGTTTTGTTTCATTTCTAAACCACCTTTCTCCCAGTGAGAGGTGCTGCGCACGGCTATACGGGCCTGACAAGTAGCCTAACTAGGAGAAAACCATCTGAGCAGACGATGCGGTGCAGTGGTTAGGATGCTGGACTAAGACTTGGGAGATGCAGGTTCTCGTCCCCACGCTGCTAAAAGACTTCCCGGATGATGCTGTGCAAGCTGCTCTTTCTTCTATCCCATCTAACCTCCTGGGGTGGGTTGAGGAGGAAAGGTTAGGAAGAGTGGTGGGATTTAAATGCCGTACATTAAGAAACAAATCATGGCAACACAGGGAACGGAAACTGAAGCTGAAATGAAAAGGAAGTCCTAATGATCATCCTCACCCACCGAATATCTACCCTGTGCTACTCACATGCCGATAACCCTGCCTTTTCTTCTAGTTTTGACAAAGAATAACCCACTTGGGAAACTACAAGTCTTGGTCTTTGGATCCTGAAGGTCACCAAATATTTGACCCAATTCAAGTGGTAGAACTGTGATGCTAATATGCTTGGTGTTTGGAAGACTTTATACACTTTGCTCATACTTGCCCCAGCCAAAAGAAGACCTAGGATACTGAGAAGAGATGTCCCGCCATAAAGCAGACAAGTCCCAGGTAACATGTTTGAGAAGTTTGAGTTCCAAAGAATAAACAAGAAAGAATTACACCAGTCTTTTGGAGGTTATACATGTTGGAGAATGAATGCCCAGCCAAGGCACTCAGCAAGGAGGTGACTGACATATTACTTCCTACAGGGTGTGTTTCTGACAGTTCATAGAAACATCATTTTTCCTACCCCAGCTTTCCTCGCTTATAATGAACCCCCTAGAAGGTGGAAATTGAAACCAATTTTCTGCAGAACTCGGAAGCTTCGACACGGCATGGGTCCAGGTCTCACCTCGACACACCGGCCTCTGGTCACTCCAGGCTGCTATCATCCCACTCAGCTTCTTGCACGTTATGCTTTTGGAGCCTTGCAAATCATAGCCTTCGTTGCAGGTGAACTGGACACTCGAACCTAACCTGGAAGATAGAAAGGATGCCATTTTCAGCCTGGGAATTTTCATCCTTGCCAGGAAGGTAGAAATCAGATTCGTGGCTTCTGGTTTCTGGTGTGTGAGGGGTTGGCTACTGACTGTAGAAATGGTGTAGTGAAGCCAGTGGCTCAAGGGGTCAAAGCCCTGGGAGTCCTGATTATCAGGAATTACGGTACATATCATCTGCCCCTCCCCACTTCTTTGAGTTTGGATGCAATCCTCATGGCAGCTGAGATAGAAGTGGCTTTTCTAAGTTGTTGCAAGCTATCCCTGTTACAATGCCAAATGTCTGGGAGTGGCTTGGTCTTGGGTGGGCAATTGAGAGCTGTTCACTTGACAAAAGATCTGCTCCTAGGAGGAGAAACAAAAACTGCTAGGGCTCATTTCTTGTTACAGATCAATCTAACTTGCATTTCTTGAGTTTCCTTATGGCTACGGGCACCTGCACTCCAGAATTCACCACTATGTCACTTCTCTGCAAGGCCCAGTGCTCCTCAATTCATTGTGGAGGCTACTGGATGAACGTTTAGCTCTACTGCACCTAGAAAAGAAGGAGGAAACTATTGCAAAGGCTAAAACTTTCCAAATGCCCCCAAAAAGGAAAAACAAACAAACAGAAAAATCAGTGTCAGTCAAAACCATACAACATTGACTCTCATCTAGAAATCTAGAATGCAGAGTCTGTGAAAACAACAAGCTGCATATTCAAAGATTGATGGCTATCCAGACAGTCAGATCATAACTGTAGGTGATCCACGGGTGTGAAAAAACTGCTGTCAGAATATTCCATTCTTAATGCCTCAGGTTTTTCCCTTAACACATTCATTTTCACGACTGTTTTACACTGCAGTCCAGCATGCACATCTGGAAGTTAATCCCATTGAATTCAATGGGATTTACCTCTGAGTGCATTCAAAAAGGATTGCATTGTGAATCTCAGGAGAATGTAGAGTAACTTTTAAAGGTACCTGCCACATTTCAGAGGGAAGAGATTTGGGATGATTTGGAAAGGTGTTTTTGCTCCAGTTCTAAATATTTGTATTATTTTAGCCTGTTGAAAAACACTGACATAAAATATTTCAGGAATAATAAAGGGTGACAAATTGCTTTGCAAGTAGAGATGGATACAGACCGCTGGTTGGGCAGTACAGATGACAGCCGAACAGCTGTCCCACAGTTCCAAGCCCCAACCCCTCCAGCAGGCACCCACTTAGAAGTAGCACCCTGGCTTCCCTGCTCTGTTGACTCTGAGTGGGCACCCGCCGGAGGTGGCTGGGCAACAAACCGCAGAATACCTGTTCGGCTACCTCCTGAACCGGCACAAACTGCCAATTTGTGCCCATCTCTATTTGCAACGCAACAACCAGCCCACCACACCCTAGAGAAGCTTATACAGTGGCAGATGCAGGGCTTAGCCGTGTCCCTGTTTTGGATTACAATCCCCAATTGCCGCGTGCCCAGCCGGTAGGACCAAGTTCTGGGACAGCCCCCCCCCCCCGCCCAGTGTTTTCTGGGGAACAATGCAGCAAGCTGGACTAATGGTTTGCATCCATATCAAGGAGTTTTGGATGTTCCACATAGCACAAGAACTGGGTCTGTTAATGATTCTGGCAAGTGGCATCTGTTCATCTCCCTACTCCACTTGGACATCATTATTTCTTTGGTTCCAGCCCAGAGTTCAGGAGTGAGTAGACGGGCTGGGGGTGAAAATGGAAATACATTTTTAGCAAGCCAGGCTGCAGCCGACAGAGAAGGAAAATTAAATATTGATCTAAGCTCTCCCTCCCCAAAACCCTTTCCCCACTCATTTATCCATCATGGCGCATCCAATTTGCTACCTTCATACAAAAATCAAGCTATTAGCAAGTGATGGTGGGAAGTAAGTCCCATGGTTGTGGAGGTGGGAGGGAACCAAGGCTCTTTGACACACAATGTTTTGTCCCTTGGTTTCTGATCGCCAGGAGCATGGGTGAACTGATTCTACATATACTAAGGCAGTGCTTCCCAACGTTGGATCCCCAGGCGTTCTCAGCCTACCAACTGCCAGAAATCCTGGCCAGCCCAGCTAGTGGTGAAGGCTTCTGGGGTTTTTAGTCCAAGAACACCTGGGGACCCAAGGTTGGGAACTACTGTGCTAAGGCAAGATGTGAGCTCTGGTTATCATCTGTGGTCTGCTGTGACTATTCAATTCACACATGTAACAGTGGTGCTTGATATCACTGTTGTTGATCAAGAGTCATCTGGCTGTGTGGCCCGGGGAACTTGACTATGCAACAGCCAGAGTCTAGCCTGAGAGACTTGGGTCTAAATCTGTTTTCAACCCTTTGTGGACAGCTCACATTGGAAGGAATAGCTTCTCACTATGGTTAGAGTGGCACCTCTAAAACAAAACTGAAAGGACAGTGAGGGAGGGAGGTGGAAAAGAATTCAGGCACTGCAGAAACCAGTGGTTTCAACACACATAGAGGGAAGCACTTAGTCCTGCCTCCCCTTGGTTGTTTTCTTTATGTAATCCCTGCTAAGTCTGAAGAGGTGTTCACATGTAGATTCTACATACATGCAAGAATTATGGAAAATCTATGTTGGTGCTCATGTGTAGGTCTACATGCAAGCAGGAACACTTAAGATTTGGTGGTGATCATGCAAATAAATCAAAGACAGAGAGAAGAGCAGTGGGACATTCCATGATAAGTTGGCTGAGACTGTCAGATTTCATAATTCCTGAATAGGGCTAGAAAAAAAAAAGAGAAGGTCTGAAAATGAAATGTAAAGTGAGAGAGCCTAAGACAGATATCATATATCCATCTGTGGGCATCCTAAGAATTCACATGGAAGGTGTTCTCTTTATGATCATGCCTATGGAAAACCTTAACATCAAGTCTACATTGACTATGAGTTGACATATATACATATGCATCTTGCCTCTTTTCTTTACTACCTCAAGAGACAGAATGTTTAGCAGGTTCCCTGTTCCAACAGCAGGGGCAAAGATGGACTAAAAAGGCAGTTGTAATTGAAAGTTGCAAAGAGTTTTCTTGTTGCCTATTGTACTGAAAACAATAGATGCAATCAGGCAAGTTCAGGCCTGCTTGAGATGCAAGACCCTTTGGAAGAACCATATGTGGCTTTCAGATTCTGTGGCAGGCAATCCTGCATGTTCTTCAGATTTTGTTAGGAATTCTTCACTAAAAAGGTCATGAATCACAGGAGAACCTCCACAAAATTAGAGCTTGAATGGCTCATTCAGTGGCCAACACTTTGGGTCAAACCTGAGCAAAATCCGTGCCAGAATCTTCCACAAATTTTAAGGATCTTTTGGCAAATGAATCAACGTGACTAACTATTTAAAAATCAATTTCAGCTCATATCAGCCTTGTGACAATGATGAATGCTGTGCAATGTGCAGAAGGACTTCCCTGAGTCAGTCCCAAATACGATTTTCTAATAAAATGGGAGGAAGACAAACATATGACCAAGCCCTTTGGTCTCTGGGGAGCCTGAGAAATCTGGGGGGAAACAGCAAACAAAAGTTGGGTTGGAGAAAAAGCAGAAACATTCATCCTTACCTGAAATCACTGCCTATTCTTTTGCCTTGATCTGGAATCCCAGGGTCCGGACACATGTTATGTCCCTGGGATGCACCAACCTGTGTTACTACAAAGCAAAAAAAACACCATATACAGAGATAGGATAGAACACAAAAATGATTTCTTTCTTTCTTTTTTTTTTTTAATATCAACTGTCTTGGCGTCGGTGGATGCGGAGATAAAATGAGAACATTTAAGTTGGAATGCATTAAACCTGTGCGCGTGTTTCATTCTTTTCCCCCTGCCCTCTTTTGCTGGTTGTATAATAGCAATTTGGGTGGCATCACAACCCCTGCCAGTGATACAGCTTTCCACGTCTCCTCCCTGGCTTTAAAACAACAACCCTGCCTTCCTTCACTTCGCCAAACAAATAAAACAAATAAATCAAGGTCACATTTCCAGAGCCAGTTAAGAAAAAAAGGACACCTGTGGAATGAAACAGAATATTCATAAAAGCCCATCACCCACCAGCCTGCAGATGGTAATGAGAGGCACAGCTGCATAAACGGATGAGGAAATAAAGTAGCAGAGTATGGCATCAAAAGTGTATGGGGAGATGAGGGGAGAAGAGGACAGGGTGTTTTGAAACAGGTAATTTAGTCTGAATGTGGAAAACCTGCAAAGGAACCATCATTTCCATTAAGGTGGAAAAAAGGGAAAAGTCTGTCATATCAAGATTATCACCCACCCACCAACAACCATCTCTAAGCCAACATCCTTTACTACACCTTCAAACTATAGCAACTCAGGAAATGAATATTTAAAAATGGCATGGATCTAATCAGAATGGAATGCATCTGGAGCGAATACATTGGTTTCAACGGCATACTCCAGTTTTCTTTCAAAGTCATGGTAAACAAACACACACACACAAAGAACGTCTACTTCATGAACATCATGCACCATCATTAGACTTTCATTCTGTGTTTCTTGCATTCCTCCTACCCGCCCACGCGCCTTCCATCATGATGTGGTTGAAAATGATGAGGCTGAATTCTCCCGAGTTGCACTGGGTGGGGAGGTGAGTGAAAGGAAATGTAAAAGTTCTTAACAATGAACGCAAAAGCAACAGCGCATGGAAACACACATGAGCATGCCTCATTCCCATTATGACCAAGCTAACTAGGTCTCTCTCTCTCTCTCTCTCTCTCTCTCTCTCTCTCTCACACACACACACACACACACACACACACACACACACACACACACACACACACGACTTGAAGAATTTCTGAAGCTGGGTGTCAACAGCAAATAGAAACAGAAAGGCCCACTCCAGAGGATACAGTGAGAAAAGGAGTTGGCATGAAATAAATACATAAGAGGGAGCCATGGCCGATCGTGGCCCTTGAACTTGCCTTCGTGGCACACTCCATAAGTATGCAACCTCCCGTACTTGTACTCAGGATTGCACCCAATTATTTTTCATGGTAGTCCCAGCATTGAAAGAGAACAGGAAGAGGTGATGTCAGCGCACTGCTAAGGCGAACACAAGACCTATTGTTTAGCTGTAGTTATTTCTTGTACAGCTCTCCTGTTAGGCCTCTGTATACCCAACGCATCTAGCTCTCTTAGCAAGACAACTCCCCCGCCTGGTTTCAGAAGGCCAAGGACAGGTCATGTTTTATCACCTTCATGTTTTACATCGCCTCCATTTTCACACATTGCTCTTGGACACACACACACAAAAGTCTAGATGCATGTCTAAAAGACATCCGATATGGATATGCCTTCTTACAGTTGCTCAGGTGGGCCATGCATCCAATGAACATTATACTGCTTCTGCTTGTACTGTGTGTATACTTATTTTTCTTACATGTGAGATGTACAACCCTCAAGCACAAATAGGAAATCTGAAAATAAAAATACCTCTATGACTGAATATGTTTCATAAATTAGATAGCACTTTGCAAGCACCACACTCTTAAGCCAGGCATTCTGGAAAACATATACTTCTGCTGCATCTCCATTAGCTTTCCCATTCATGGTCTACCCCTCCCAGTGCAAAACGTATAATCCCCTCACCCAAGCATTCCACTTCTGCCTTTGGGAATGAAAGGCCCCATTCCAACTTGCACAACCAAACAAAGGCCTTCAAAGGTATTCTTTTGCATGCCTATACATCTGTCTGTGCCCGTATGATCCCTACATATGGTCCATCCCTATAACCAGACTCCAAATTATTCATTTAACCACACATTTTCAGGAGTCAAGTATCACCTGTATCTGAGCCTTTTCCCCCTAAGCAAATTGCATGGAATGTCCAGTGCACCAAACAGATCCATGCAAAGAAATTACACAACTGCTTCAGGAGCTATCTTAGGAGGACTCTGGGGACCTCATCCGCATGGGCCAGATCTTCCATAGGCACTTAACTTCCCCGTGTGGGGCACATTTGTTTTTCAGCTACTTTACTTGAACAAGTCCTGCTACAATTCGGTGCATGCATGAAGACTTTCCAACACCTCTTTTTGTGGGCCTACTAATCATGCCTTATGGTTTCCTTTTCTCCAATGTTAAGGAAACACCAGGGAGAAAGATCCCAATGGCTAGCCTCATCCTTACAGCTCCAGTGAACAGACAGGGAATGTAGTGGCATGGGGATGGGTTCTGTTGAATTAGCGATAACCCCGCTGCATAAATAGGAAAAGGGAGAAAAAGATGAAGGGTGCCAATATAACAAAGCCACATTGTTTCTCTGCTTAATGCCATTGGTACACTTGATGGTTTACAGGAGAATGAAAGCAAGGAATACAGAACATTAGGCTCCTGAATACCGAATGTTATGCTTCTGATTAAGGAGTTTTGAGGTAGGAATCAAAGTAGACATTATCTTTCATTCCCTCTGTTAGGACCCAGTGGTTTTGATCTCAAGGGAGACTCAGAACTTGGGAATCTGTGATATCAGGATAGAAAGGCGGCGGTGGGGTGGGGGGGAGATCAGGACAGAAAACATCTCCAGGATGTGACCCTCCCTTTTTACACCCCCATTTCATTGGCTGCTGCTATGGCTATCGCTACCACTAGAAGTCCACCTCCAAATTTGGCCACAACCATAAAAATAATAATCCCATTTCCTCTTTCCTGTGGTGGAAAGGAAGGAGGCATTCAAGGGAAGAGGGGCCTTGAGGAAACACTCGGGCAACTTCCAGCACCATAGGGAGCCTCCACAGTTGCCATAGCATTTTCACAGCATCTGTGGTGGGCACAGGGGCTGGGGAAGGGGTTCAAATATGGCCTGTGGCCACTGAGAAAGAGCCGGCTGGATCCTGAACCTTGTGGAATATCCAGTGTCTGTATCACCACCACCACCACCAACAACAACAACAAACTCTGGCTACTTCAGGAGGCAATATCATACTGGTATCCATTGGAGGAGACTAGGAACTGCAATAGGAGAGGAAACAGTTAACACCCACACACCCACATACAGACCCAGGGCAGTTGTAATCTTGGGAACGCTTAGCCATCTGCATTTTATTCAGAATGGGCATAGTTAATCTGAAGAGACTTTTAGTGTCACCATTGATTTGCTCCTCTAAAAGACCATTTCACCCAGTTGTCTTTCAGCCCCAACAGACAATATAGGACAAATGCAGGAAGCAGTGAGAACTATTCCAGCTGACAGAAAAAGGATTTGAGGAATTAGGAGAGCCAGCCATATTTTATCTATGGGGTCATCAAAAATGTGTCTGGTGACCCTGAGAGAACAGTTTTGTGCAGTTCAAAAGGTTGACTCTCAGATTCTGGTAGATTTCACTTCAGCTGACCTGTCTGCCAGAATCCCCTCACAATGTCCTACATTCTGTTTCTCACATGCCCTACTCTGTTGTCAGTTCCACTTTTTATCCACCTGCTTCCAAAGAGAAAGGGGAGAAGTTTCCTTTTTCAGACAACGAAGACTGGATTTGCTCATCCTGTCTTATCCTGGCACTTGTAGTAAGAAAAAAGGACCATTTATCCTTTTGAGTTTCAATGGCGCCCCCTCAACTACGAACTTCAGCAAACACTTTTTGGTTCCATCTTTCCTAACCCCTCTCTCCCCCCCATCACACCCTCTCCTGTGATGCCAACTTCGAAAGCCAACCTTGACAATGTTGACAGAGACAGAGAATTTTTTTTTTTAAAAAGGTCAGGAACACATTTAAGCAACAATATCAGCAAAGGCTGTTGACCTCTGGAGAGAATCCATGGTAGTTTCTACAGGAGGTACATGTCCTTTGCAGTCATTTTGTACTCAAGCTGTTCCTGCAAAAAGGTTTTCTGATGAAGGGCCAGTTTATTTGTGAGAAGGTATCCAGACCATATCCTGAGCCCTACCAGAGGCCACTCAGAAGTCCCAACCACCTTTCGTTTCTATTTTTACACCCAAGCCATATTAGTTTCTGCAAGCCTCCATAGACCTATCTGGGTATTATGATCTGAGTACACTCACCGCACATAGAAGGGAACATTGTAACCCTGTTTCCTCCTTCTCCTCTTTCATTACACATCTACAAAGAGAGGTGATGAGTGCAGAGGGATGGTGGTAGGGCTCTGTTACCCATGGATGCTCTCCCCTTTTGACCCTGATTTTACAGGGACCAGAATCATGTGGAGAACCCACATGGGCAGCAAAGTTTTCCCTCTTCAGACTCTTCACCCCCTCAGTGTAGACAAGTGACAGAAATGACAAGGGAGTGGGTGTTGCTAGAACACTCCTTTCCGTGGGGTGGATTTTCTCCAAAGGTAATCTCTCCATAGGGCTCAAGAGTGATGGTTTTCAAGTAACACCCCCAAAGCCCCAGAAATTGAACCAAACAAACCAAACCCAATTGGAAACGGATATCCAAACCATTCATATTTTGATTTTCCTTTCCAGGCTTATTCTTTGGGGTCAGTGGTTAGTGGGTCCCACAAACATATCTGAAGCTAAAAAACTGGCCCATTGTCCTAGAGCTACACCTGTTATATGTACCTCCAAAGAGGAGGTGTCTTCTCTTCCCACAGAGCAGTGTGGGGTGGGACATTACCCAGGAGCTCCATTCAATTTCTCCACGCCATCCATGGCTACATGACGGAAGTTCA